TCAGCTGGTATATGACTGAGTATTTCGGTGTGATTAGCAGTAATTTTCTTCAGGGGGAAACCAGCTGAGAGTAGGCATTGAATTGAGTCTGAGAATCTTCACAAGAGGGAATATCGTGCCCACCTGACTGTATATCATCAACATAGGTTTCATTTGTCAGGATTCTTTGGGCTAGAGGATAAGAGGCTTTTGAATCGTTTGCCAACTGGTGCAAGGTGCGAATGGCTAGATATGGGGCGCAATTAACTCCAAAGGTGACGGTTTTAAGAGCAAAGTCCGTGAGTTTAGTATCGTTTTCCCTACGAAAGAGAATTCGTTGGTACTGTTGATCATCTTCGTGTAGAAGGATTTGGCGGTACATCTTTTGTATGTCCCCGTTGAAGACATATTTGTACAATCGCCAATTCAAAATGACAAACATGAGATCAGATTGTAAGGTGGGGCCGATGTGGAGAATGTCATTAAGGCAAGTTCCTGACGCTGAAGGTTTAGAGGCGTTAAATACCACACGAACTTTGGTGGATTTACTATCGGGTTTAACGACTGAATGATGAGGGAGATAATATGAAAAGCATTTGCCATCTTCATGGATTTCATAGGGAGTGATTGGTTTCATATGACCTAGGGATAGATACTCTTCTAATACTCGATTATATTCTTCTTTTAGATCGGGGTTTTTATTAAGCGTGTGTTCCATTCGAATCGCTTGCTTCATTGCTTGCGAACGATATGGACCGAGAGTGAGGTTAGAAGGAAACTCGGATTTAAATGGCAATCTGACTACATATCGTCCATCACTTTGCCGATAGGTGGTGTCTTGATAAAATTTTTCGCAAAATGCATCAGCATCGTAAGGTGGACGGGGTTCAGTGATTTCTTCGGTTTCCCAGAAAAGTTTAAGTTAAGTGTTGAGATTTTCGCTTGAGTCTTCAACAACATGAGTGTGAAAACTGATGCACTCAATTGATTTCAATGGCCCACTTAAATACCAACCAAAAATGGTATTTTGAGCTAGTAGACTTCCAAAAATTTGGTGCTTGACTCCTTGAAGGAGGATTTGTGGTATCAGGTCACTACCTATGACTAGGTCAATTGGACCGGGGGTATAGAAATAGGGATCCGCAAGATCTAGGTCCTTAATTTCTGAGAGATTTGGTTTATGAAGTTGGAATGATGGGAGAAAGCTGGTGAGTTTTTGAAGGACAATGGCCTTAGTGTTTATGCT